ATCATTTTTGTGTGAAGGTAGGGTGTTGATTTTGTGTGATGATAAGAGCAAAATTTCAAAAACAATCATCCTAAGGGTGAATGGGGAGGTTTTTTCGATTGTGGTTATGGAGGAGGAGTGGTGTATGGATTCAAATTGGTGGTTGGCAGGGGAACGACGGAATCCAGTAGTTTTTGAAGATGGTACAGAATATTCTGATGAAGGAAATAATGAGGATATCTTTAATGCAAATAGTTTTTTGGGGGATGATGGCAAGAAAAAAGCCGAAGATTGTGGTGTAACAGTGGTGGATTCAAATGGGCAATTAAGAAGGTTGGTTGATTCAAACGAAGTGGATTTGGATGAATTTTTTGAATCAAATGGGCTACAGAAGCATGGGCCAGTTGACATGGACTTTGTTGGGCCTAATGAAATGAGATTAGATGTGCAGCGGGTTGAAGAAAGCTACAGTAATGGGCTCATGTCCAATTCGGCAAAGCAGCAGCAGATGGCTTCGAAAAAGAAAAAAAGTAGAAGTTTGGGGGTACTATATCCAGGTAAAAAGAATGTGGAGAAACCGAAGGAGGTGGAAACAGAATGGATTACAACAAGAACCAGATTTAGAAGGGAAAGAAGGGACAGTGATACTCACTGAGAAAATCACACAAAAGAGTATAATGGAAGTCAATTGCTGTTCGACGGTTGCATTCAGCATCGTAACACGTTAATTTGGCAACAATTACAATTGGATGAGGTGTGAAAACTGTTTATGCTGGTGCAGAGGTTGGGGGATTTAGTGTCAATAGAATGAGGAAGAGGTGATGTCTAGGCTGGGGGCTTTAGAGAAGAGGGGTAAAGAGAATTTCAGAGGAGTTTGAAATTTACGAACCATTTCAGGTTGGTTGTGGTTTGTGAGGATTGTTCTATTTATTATGAAGATTATTTTTTCAATGTTAGGGGTTTGGGTAATGTGTTAAAGAGGAGGGAGATCTCAAAATTGGTTAAAAAGGAGGATCTTGATTTTTTATTTATTTAGGAAACTAAATTAGAGAGAGTTGAGATTTCTGTGTGTAGATTTTTGTGGAATTTCAATGATTTTGATTGGGTAATGTAGAAATCAGTAGGTAATTCAGGTGGTTTATTGTGCTTATGGAATAAGAAGAGGTTTGTTAAACAGAGTGTGTTCGAGGGTAATGGCTTTATTGGAATTTTTGGTGAATGGGGTTATGAGTAGTTAAGGTGCTCATTTGTCAATGTCTGTGCTCCATGTGAGAGACACAAGAAGATTTTATTGTGGAAGGAAATTGGGGATTTAGTAGTGGAAGAGGGTGGTCGATGGCTTTTGGCCAGGGGTTTCAATTCTGTTCGGAATATAGATGAGAGGAAAGGCAAAATGACAGAGACACAAGGTATGCATGATTTTAATCAATTTGTTGAAGGTACTAGATTGATTGATGTTAACTTGATGAATAGAAAATTTATGTGGTACAGACCTGATGGTACTTCAATGAGTAGGATTGACAGGTTTCTAATGTCTGCTGAAATGAGTCTATTGGCTACAGATTGCAGTCAAGTTGGTGTTAGAAGAACAATTTCAGATCATTGTGCGATTATTTTGAAGTCAAGAAACATTGATTGGGCTCCGAAACCTTTTTGGGTTTTTGATGCATGGCAACAACATCCAGACTTTAGAAGGTTTGTGGAGGATAGATGGAAAGAATTGCATGTTGAAGGTTGGGCAGCTTATAAATGTAAGCAGAAGTAGAAACTATTAAAGGATGAGTTGAGGAGTTGGAATTGTGAGGTTTTTGGCAATGTGGAGGCTCAATTAGTAAATTTATTAGAGCAGATTGAGATGCTAGGTAAAAAAAAAACGAGGAGGGGGAATTGAGTGTGAATGAGGTGACAATGCGAAGAGGGTGTTTTCAAGAGATGCAAGAAATTTTAAAGAAGAGAGAAGCTATGTGGAAACAAAAATCGTGAAATATGTGTGTTCACCTTGGGGATGTAAATACAAGTTTCTTTTGTAGGAGTATGCATGCAAGGAGGGCACAAAATGCAATATCATGGGTTTTGTGTGAGGATGGTTGGGTTGAAGAACCAAATGCAGTGAAGGAAGAGGTTGTGAAGTATTTCAGTAATTTGTTCTAGGGTGGATAATGGAGCTGTCCAGTAATGGGTGGGGTTCAATTCAATAGCATTTCAGTTGCACAAAGGGAGTGGTTGGAAAGGCCTTTTTCCATTGAGAAAATTGAAGAGGGACTTAGTAGCTGTGGGTGGTCGAAGGCACCAAGACCAAATGGTTATAATTTTAATTTTCTAAAGTTTGCGTGGAGCACATTGAAGGAGGATTTTATAAATTTTATGATGGATTTTCGTCAACATGGGAGGTTAGTTAAAGGTTTAAATTCCTCTTTTTTAGCATTTATCCCTAAAAAATTAAATCCAGTGCACTTTAATAAGTGTAGGCCTATTAGTTTGATTGGTTGTTTGTATAAACTATTGGCTAAAGTATTGGTGAATCGGTTGAAAATGGTATTGTCAGATATTATTAGTGCTTCTCAGTCAACTTTTGTGGGTGGGCGGAAATTGATGGATAGTGTGTTGATTTTGAATGAGGTGGTGGATGAGGTAAAGAAAAGGAAACAAGCAAGCTTTATTTTTAAAGCCGACTTTGAAAAGGCTTATGATTGTGTAGATTGGTCTTTCTTGATTGGATGATGGCTAGAATGGGTTTTGGGGTTAAATGGAGACAGTGGATCCATAAATGTCTTTCAA